TTAAATTTTTAATTTTTTTTTTTTGTTTTTTTTTTTTTGGTTTAAAAAAAAATAAAAAATTTTTTTAAAAAAAAAAAAAAAAAAAAAAAAAAAAAAAATCAGTGTCATTATTTGTACATGAAAAAACCCAGAACAATCCCATGACCTAACCGTCATATTGAAGAAATACCAGCACCACCGAGGCTGGCGACCATGGAGGCGAACGCAAACCCAACGGTGAGTTTCATATTCTGTAGTATATTTTATTTTGTGCATGAAGTTTGATACATTATCTTAAAGGTTGATTTAAAGCTTAAAGCTTGACTGAGACAGGCAGTCTAAGTAAAGTCGTAATTTTTCAGATGCTACCGCTAATATAGTAAGCTAATATGGCTGCCTTGTATGCTTCAATTGAAGCTTAAGGAGGGACTGTGAACTCTTCCTACTTTAATTATAACCACAACCCCATCCTGTTCATGTGACTTCATTTATGAATGACTTAATAAATAAATCTAAAATAAGTTAGCAAATGTACTTTCAAGCATATATTTTCTTCAAAATTAGTTAAAAAAACAAAGGAGATTTTTTTATAATGTTGCTAGGTAACAGAACGACGTTTTATACCGCAAAGTAAAAGAATGTAAATTAATATATCATCACTTGTTAGATAAGAGAAGCAGTATTTTGGATGATGTTGTAATGACCATAAATTTATTAATTTTTCCGAAAAATTAGGACTAACAAAACCCGGAAAGTCGTCACTCATCAATTCTCTTTAAATATTCTAGACTTGGCGCAAGTGGCATTTATTTTTGAAATAAAACGGGAGGAATTGTGTGTGGGACAGCGGGGAGGAAGTTGTGGGATGCTAGGAGGTAGCTGGAACTAATATGCCAGCACTACATGATGTAAGATTAACAACGGCCCAAACCCGAGTTTTAAATCAACCTTTAAGATAATGTATCAAACTTCATGAGCAAAATAAAATATGCTGCAGAATATGAAAGCATTAAACTCACCGTTGGGTTTGCGTTCGCCTCCATGGTCGTCAGCCTCGGTGGTGCTGGTATTTCTTCAATGTGACGGTTGAGTCATGTCATTGGCTGGGTGTTGGAATCTGACATCCATTGCTAATGTCTGTGACCTGAAGTAACATTGCCATTTTTACAGCGAATTTTTAGACGCTGAATTTGAGACGGCAAATTTGACCAAGTTGAATTTGAGGACACTGAAACTATTGCATTTGAATTTTGAAAGGTTGATTTTTTTTATATGTGGAATTTTTTAACACTGAAAAATTAAACTGAAAAAATATGTATACTGAAAATTTGATCACTTTGAAATAGGATTTTAATTTTTTTAACAAATGAAAATTGCAACCATGTACAAATAAAGACTGATTTTTTTTTTCATGTACAAATAATGACATTGAATTTT